GTCAACACCATCCTCTCCACCGATATCAACTGCGACAACACCGACCAGCTCGCAAGACAGCATGCTTTGTGCAGAATTTTCCCTACCGAAGTGTTGAATTTCCTGCGCCACACCCGCCATTCTTCGCGCTGAATTACAGTGATTACCGGCTCACTCTCCACCACATTCGACCCTAGAGCTACCTCCAGCAAGAACTCACATTCCCGTCCCACGTCCACACAGCGAGCGCGCTGGCCACTCCGACCTCAAAGAATCGCTCAAAGAATAGAGAGCCCTGTTCAGAATACAAAGACAAGAATCAGAGATTGATTTTGAAAGTCCTCGGATGAAGTTGAGGCTGACATAAGCGACAGACCCACTCCATCACTTTCTTTGCTGACTAAAGATGCTTCCCGTCTCAAATGTTCACTGCACCTTTCACGATTGCATTCTAATCTGAATGGAGGTGGCTCGTGACAAATTGCGGACCACTGGGAGCAGCTGACACGCAGTGTGTGCATCAACGCAATGTGACTAGAAAAGTTCGACTCGCGACGTGAACAAAGAATAGTGAAGACACTCCTACCCGAGCGCTTCAGGGATGCGAAGACTCGCCGATTTCCTCGCTCGCATTAGGTCTCTGCCAAATCTCACGATCGGGATGCTTTTGAGGTCCCAACCAATTGACGACCGACTCGGACTGAGCAACGTTGAACTCGACACGCTTGCGCCCACCCCAAAGGCCCTTTTTGCGTTCCTTGCTGGTCTGCCAAGCGCGAGCTCTTCTAGATTCTTCGTTTATGTACCATCGCCTGGCCTCGATGCCCGTCATCGTCTCCATCTCTTGCCTAACTTCAAGAGGAGGTGAGGACCAGTTGAACCTGCTTTTTCGACCGTGCACGCGTGGTGGGGGCGAGCCTGTCTCGGCTTGAGTGGTGTGGACCGGTGAGGACGACCGCCTTGGCGTCGAAGGTGCGAAGCAGCTGAAAGCACTGCCTCTGCGCACTAGACATGTCACTTTCGCCTTTCGCGGAGGTAAAACATCCAGAAATCTGCTCAGGCGCGAGCCGAGAGGCGCTCGTCTGAGCAATAGATTCCGTGAACGATACTGCTATAGTAAGTGAGTGCATCGTAGCTCGCATCAACACTTGTTCAGGACGGCCTGTCAACAGAAGCCGCTGGGCTTTTCACTTACCGCAACGCCCACGCTACGCTTCTGGAAAATTCTGCCAATATCTTTGACTTGAGCACTTCTACGTGTCTGTCACCAAGATGGGACTGGTAGCAGTCAGATGTGTCCAGCCGAGGTCGGCAATCTTATTCAGAGCTTCTAGGTCTCAAGTCTGACCAAGATACGTGATACGCCGCACCCTACATACATCCCTTTCATGTCTACCGCGGTGACTCTGGGTACGTCACGTTATTTAAGCGCCTGATCACTTACCCCACCAGTATGATCCGATCGGCGGTGCAAAGGCTCGTTCAACTTTCGCAAGGCAGCAGAGACACCCTTGACTGGAGGATTTGTTTCGGGATACATGTGCGACAGAGGATGCATCTGACCAGCCGCGTGGATGTTGCTCAAATGCTCTTTGATGATTCTCTCGCGAGCTTGTTGACCAGCGTCGAACCACTTTCCAATGCCCAAGCTGGAGGGTTCGTGACCGACACCTCGTCAGTCCTCGTCAAGGCGAGAAAACAGGCAACGAAACTCACATGAACTCGTCCAAACTCTTGTGAAAGCTGGGTGTACCCCAACCACCCTGTTGCTTCATGAAGTTCTTCATGCGCTCGTAAGAAAAGTTCACATCTTCGTTGGTCGCGGGGGGGGTGTATCCCCAGGTAGGATCATTATGTGCGTGCGCCATTTCCGGATCCTTCAACGTCAAGGGAGGTCGACCGGCATGACCAAGCAAGCTGTGCTCGATTTCCGGGATGCCCTTTGCGGGCTTCTTGGCAAAGGATAAGATCTGCGCAAGCTCACGCTTGACTAGCGCGCGTTGGCTGAGTGGTCGGAGAGCAGTGCGAGGCTGTAGAGAAAGGGAACAGTCAACACAGCCACTGTTACGTGCGCGACGACCCATCGAAGCTAGAATAGCGCCCTTCGCAGGCATTTATTCGCACCAACAACACTCACGTCGACGAGCTTCTCAGACAGTGCTCGACTGCGAAGGCCAGAGCCACCGCCCTTGATGATGTCGCTATGCTCGTCCAAGATTCGCTTCGAAGCTATCTCATGCACCCGCCCATGCATGAAGCCCGTGTGCAGCTCGCTGTAAAGGGGCAATGCGACGTCGATGGGTCAAGAGAGCTCAGTACCGTCCGCCTTGCTTTTTTCCTCTCGAGAGCGCAAGCCTCACTCACGGGGCATACCCGAGCGCGTGTTTGATACGAGGCGTACCCCAAGCACCACTCTTGGTCATTTTCTTTTTGAGGTCCTCGTAGTAAGCTTGCACCCTCTCAGAGTCTGCTGTCAGTGGCGGAGTGTAGACACGGCGAAATTCTTCTTGGTATTCCTTGCGCTCCGGACTAGGATATCGGACGCCCTCGTGTTCAAGGAAGCTGTGCTGATTGGGTGGAACATCGTGTGCTGGTTTCTTAGCAATCGAGACCAAATTAGACGGCGAGCCCTGCATCTCGGCTTCAATCTTCTCGCCCGAGGAGACAAATCTAGAGAGTGAACCCTTAGGGTGGGATTGCAGAGCTGGATCAGCAGCTGTCTCGTATAGCTCGCCTCAGAATCTCGTCCTTGTAGTGTCACGCGCGCGACGCATACGCGTCAGCCCGTGCGCATGTAGCTACACTGTACCTGCGACCCCTCGTATTGAACATCATCATCCTCATAGGACCTATCTGTGACAGTGGTCCGTGAGAGACGACTCACAAGGGGAGATAGTCTGCCATGTGTGCTGAAGACGAGAAGGACGAAGAGTAAAATGCAAGACCGTCCTTCTGGTAGAGGAACGCGCCAGCGCGATCGCATTTGGTGTAAGACTGTCGAAGGATGGAGGACGAGCTGAGGGGAGAATAGAATCTGAGTAGTGCTCGACCAGCGAGCCCTTGATGCTTTGTTCTAGGAGAAAAGAGAACGAATGAGTGAACAGTAGAGGGGGCCGATATCCTAGAGCCTGAAGATCGAGTGTTTTGTATTTCAAGCTTCCCATTCGCGATGCATCACTTGGATTCATACAACCCGCCACGCGCCACCGGTCTCGCCACGGGCGGGAAAGGCACGCAATTTGAGTGTGCCAGCACAGCCACCGCTGCAATGTTGAGTCATCTTGGCGTCAACATGCTCGCCCGCCGTCGGCGGAGCGGAGCATATCACCGCACTCCAACGAGAATCTGGGCTCCTGATGTTGGGCGAAGCTGAGTCGCGATGGGCGTCCATTGCGGCAGTAAGCATTGTTGCACTGTGAATGAGGGGCAGAAGACGCGGGTGCAGCCGCCGAAGTGCGAAGGGCGGCGAGGAATCGCGAGTGCGCACTGTGACCCGCCATTTGCAGTCTTACGGTTGAAATGTTGAAACCGTCCACCGGTCAGGCGTAGCGCCTACCGATCTGATACCTCCGACCATCGCTTTCGAGCGCCGTAAACGAACCAACGTCATAACCTTAAGGGCGGGTCTAGAGCGCCGAATCAGCGATTGTGAACACGAAGTCTAGTCCATTGAGCTTGTCATTCATTGGAGGCGTTGCGCAGCGAGAGATGCGCTTGAGCGAAGCAGCTCGGTGCGAAGCCCTTCAGTAACCTGATCAGCTACCATTGCAGCGCGCCACCAAATCTGAAGGTATTCTGTCCTGGAGGTAGGTAATGACATCGTCGATCGGCGTCCACTCCGCCAAAGCCGGACCTTCACGGCCCGTGAGCAGCTTTGCCTCGGATGTGAGCACTTGACCGTAGGCCTGCAAGCGGGTAACCAATTAGGAAGGTACGGACATTAGTGCGTCTGAATGAACGGGACGCCGCCGCCTGCCGCCGCAGCTCGTTGTTGCGATTCAAACGCCTTTCGCCAACCCGCTCAATCTGCTCACCAAAATTCTGACGTATTGCTTCGGAGCAGCATCCGACTCGATGGTGGTCTGCTTTTCCCAAATCTCAAAGATGACTTCGCTTCCGAGCGCAGGCCAGCGAATAGTGCCGCTTTGGGCAAGACTCTTGAGCAGACGCACCATGGTGCCGTCATGACCGATGTAGAGATTCGCCTTGTGCGCGTTCTTGCCATCTCGAATCAAGGACAAGTTGCGCACGAGCTCAAGAATGAAGGCGCCGAAGCTATACCGAACGTAATCATCGGAGAGGGGAGATGCATTCCAGATGTAGCTGCGCGCGCGGGAGATCGGAACAGATAAGCAAGTCTAGCTTGTCGTGGATGGGGAAGCTGCTGCCTTTCGCGACACCTACTTGTACTCGAAGTCGCCCGCAGCATATACATTGTCCGCAGTCTTTTGATCTATGCTCGCGCCGGTGTGTGGGTTGGTGGGGAGAGGGTGACCGTGGCATTGCCTAGAAGCCAAGAAGTCAAAGCTACGGAGGAGGCAGCAAAGCAAGTCAACACCCACGAATGCATTGGGTTGCATCATTGTAGCGCTGTGCACCTACGCGTGGTCGATCCAGGAGTTCCAGCCGGTTTCCTTTGCAGTCCCGAGCACCTCGTTGACCGCGTCAAATGTGCCGGAGATCTTGCCGAGATGATTCTGCCAAGACTCTTCCTCCTCGATCTTGGCCCGAAGATCATTTGCATACGCGCAAGAGTAGCTAGGCACAATACTATCAATGTTGCTAGGCTGGATCTCTACCGGAAAATGTTTATTCTCTAGGTACCCTGCACCTTTAAGGAACGCGCCGCTGACTTGGAACGTGCGGGGCTCGGGACTCGTACGCACACGCACCGTCTCCTCGCTGACGGCATCAACAAGCTCAGCGGGACCTCCAGGTCCATACACGCCAATCCAATCTTGACCGTGCTCGAAGGCGTTCACAAGTCCACCTGCTGTGAGTGTACCGCTGTCGCACGTCCCATTCCAGATACGCTGGAGGAATGGATGCCATGGGGGAGTGCTAGTGCGAGGGTCTATCTGCGCTGCTTGCGCCAAGCTAGCGGCCCGCGTGCCCGTCGCGTAGTTTGTGTACTCTATATCGGTCTGAACGAGCATACATGCGGCTTTCCTCGTGTCAATGACAGATGCTGGACATGAGCATCTCATAGCCAAAGGTCCATCCAGCACTCACGCAGTCCCAACCCGCTGGCGGGTTAAACTCATTCTCCTTGCCAGGCACGAGATTGTCAGGCGTGCGCTTCTCGTGTCGCTGGATATAGATGAGGTGCTTCAATTCAGCTTGCGCAGATGCCTCAGGTAGTGCATAATGCTCCCTAGACACTCTGGGCGCAGAGCAGTAGTTGTATGTATTCCAAGGCAGCTCGTACGGACCGTCAGTGTAGATGCCGCCAGGCATGGACAGATTGTATGCGCTGAGGTTCGCGGCGGATGCTGCCATTTCGACGGCCTTGAGTGAGGAGCAGTATTGCGAATCGATGTGGTCCGAACTCAAGACAGCTTGGGAAGCGTCCCTTGTCATGAACAGGTCGTTCATGGTGATTGCGAATCGTCACACACCTGTCTAGTCAGCTTTTGGAGCCGTGCAGAAGCTCTCGTCGTGCTCGCCGTCTTGCTGCTCATGCGGAATACATCTTTGCTTGAAAGTCCATCTCCAAAATCTTACGCAGCGACGCTCGATAACGCAAACTGGCTTGATTTCCCTTGTGGAGGAGAAGAGCATGATGATGGTCGCCTGCTTTGCACGTTCCCTTTTCGAAGCTAGCAAGCAGCACGCTTCTCGGGCAGCGCAGGCACATGTGCTCCCGAGGAGCGCTGCGCTTGTGTACCGGCCGCGTAACTCCGAATTTGAGACAGTCACGTGGCGAGTGTGCTCCGCAGAAGTGAATGTGAATTGAATCAAGAATCAAAATTAGTGATTTCGAGATCCTGGAGGCTCGCATCGAAAGCAAGATGCTGCTCAGCCGAGGCTCAGCCTTGCATTTGCCTTGAAGCCTCGAACTCGACTCGACTCGATCTTTCAGCCCCTTTGACCTGCCACTCACCGTCACACCGCCCGTCAGCAGGCACAGCAGATCTTGCTGCACCACTTGTGAGAGGGACGCCCAGCCCAGCCCAGCACATATATCCAAGCAGGCCCCGCTCGTGTCCTGCGTCTCGCTCGCGACTGCCTTTTAGCCTTCGTCACTCGATCAAGATCAATCGACCAGCCAGTGGCGCACCTTGACCAGCTGGATTCGACGTCTCCTTTTCGTGTCACAGGAGCATTTCTTCGAATTGAACCCGCGATCTGTCCCAAAAAGGCGCGAATAAACATGTCCCTCTTAGCCGAGTCTCGTCAACAATCGCGCATCCTCTTTGTCAAGAACTTGTCTTACCAAGTGACGGGATCCGATCTGTACGAGCTGTTCGGTCGATATGGAGCCATTCGACAAGTGAGGACTGGGGATGGACCAAAGACAAAGGGGACGGCTTATGTCGTCTTTGAGGAGATTGGAGATGCAAAGAAGGCGCTGGATCATTTGAATGGATTTCATTTGCAAGAGAGGTACATCGTAGGTGAGTTTTGGCCAGCATACATGTGGTTGGATGGTGGGAGAGGGTGGTGGGAAGCGTTGAAAAGATGGTCAGCAGGCTAACGAACGATGAATGACGCGTACACGCTGCCATAGTCTTGTACCACATGCCGGCGAGAGGCGCAGCGACGGCCAAGGCGGATCTGGCAGCCAGAGAAGCTCAACTAGCCGAGTTGAAGCGCAAGCACGACATTGCTGATGCGGAAAAGTAGCAAGGCGGCCGATGCGGACAGCAGCATCAAAACACTTGCGATTTCGGGTCGAACGTATGCCCGATGCCGATAGAGTAGGATGCGGTCTCCTGCGCGAAAGGGGCCAAAGACTTGCTCAGAGGTGGGAGGAGCGGAGATGTTCTTCTGAGCAGCTCAACAACGAGTCAGGCAGGCAGGCAGGCGTGGATCTGCAAGCGCAGACAGCGGCTGGACGATCCCTCAACAGTCACAAGAAGAGGCGGGAAGGATTACACAACAACAGAGACCTTTGTATTATAGCTTGGGCGCACGCCGCGTTCGATACAATAGCCGCGATCAACATTGCACGACACTCGTGCACTGACATCGCACATCCATCAAAGCTCTTATTTGTGCTGCACAGCTGGCTCCATGTGGGACGCTCGGTGGGATTGCGCCCTCATCGATGATTGCTCTGTCCCTGCAGCGGAGGTGGAGCGCTCGATCTTGGCTGTTCAGCATGGGCGGAAGTATATAGTAGCCATACCGGCGCGCCTTCGTGCCAGCAGCGCACCCACCTCTTCCACTTTCCCTGACATGCTAACTTCACGATTGCCATTCACGATTGCCAAAATTCAGGGATCGTGGCAATGAAAGCCATGCAGCATACACCTTTCTCAGCCATGCATGCAAGCACGAGCGTGGCACGCGACGCTGCACGAGCATGACTTTTGTGAGTGGTGAGTGTCATGACTCGCTGACACGGATGACTCCTACATTGCTCTTTCTACGACTCGTGACATGATCGCGATTTGACGCTTGATTGACACTCGCGCGTGACCAAGCTTGACTGTGGCTCAAAGTCTTGAGTACAGACTTGGGCCTCTCTGACTTTTGTGACTTGATGGCAGCAGCATTCGTGATTACTCTTGTAGAAACCACGTACAATCAGTCACGAGTCACAAGTATGCGTATAGAGTGAGCGCGTCATGAGGGACATTGCGGTCGCGAGTCGTGCGTCGTGAGTGGCAAGTCACATCGCGGCGAACGCGAGACTGCGTCGGGGGGCTGCAGGGCCCGCAGAATGAGCGCGCACGTGATCCCAAAGACCGCGTCGCGAATTGCCTTTTGGCGTGACTCGTGACTGTGACTGTATGACTGTGCAGCAAGCAAGCGACACGCACCTGTTTGCATGCTGGGATTGCCTCGGCCTCCCTCAAGACCTCAAACCCCTGCCAGGCTCCATCTACCACTCATCCAGCCCTCATCCTTATCGCCTACCATAGCCTTGTTGCTAGCGACTGCATCATCATCATCATCACACTGGCAGTCAGGCAAGGGCTAACTCCCTGCGAGCTTGCTTGCACAGCGCACCCTCTAGACTTGGCGGCAACAACGGCCGGTAGACAAGCGGCGGCCAGAGTGCGCATCATATTCGCTCATCCACACCACCTTTCTCTACAAGGCTATCAAGGAGCGAGCGATAGTACAGCCCGACGTGCCTTGTCGACGCAAGGGCAATCGTCGATATCTGCTCCCCTTTTGGCAAGATGGATCGTCCACGTCGTTCAGCTCGAGCACCTCAGCAGGCCAACAGGCTCCTCTCAGCCTCTTCGACCAGCAGTCCAGCTCCGACCCCGACTGCACCTTCGACTGCTGCCTCTCCTTCTCGTCCCTCTCCACGAGTAGGAGCGCGAAGCTTGACAGATGCTCCAGCCAGTCGATCGCCCGACGAATTTCGACGCGCCAGAAGGGTAGCGGGAAGATCAGGCTCCAGATCAGCCAATGACTCCAACTCGATTTCCCCTTCTGCTTCCCTCTCTCCTCAAATGTCCAGGCTTCCCTCCGCTCTAGCTACCGACTACTCCAACGCACGCGATGCCGCCAATATCTCACAAAATGAACAGCAACGCGCCGACCCGCAGCAATCACAATCGCAGTCGCAATTGCACGCGCCAGCGCCAGCGCCAGCGCCGGCTCAGGCCTACGCGACAAGTGCGAAAGCAGCTTCTGATGTTCAAGGACTTTACAGCAGTCCCTACATCTCTCGAGCCTCGCAACTCCTGTCCAAGGGACAAAGATCCATCCTTCCTCCCAACGGGGTCGCAGCATACGCACCGCTCCCTCGCGCAAGCACCACTTACAATTCTCTGCAAGTCGGCGGCAACGTCTCTGTGGTGCGAGGTCAAGCTCTTGGTGGGACTTTTCCTGCTAGAATGGCGATTGGGACGAGCGGATTGATGAGACCTTTGTCTGCGGCCGAGATGGAAGGTGCGGCGAGTGATGAGAGAGTAGGCGGAGGCGGCGGCGGAGGAGGAGGAGGAGGAGGCGGAGGTGCGGGTGGTGCTGGCATGTCTTCTTACGGATATGGCTCCGGAGTGACGGGAGCGAGATCCAGCGGAAGAGCTTCTACGCGCGCCAGACCGACTTACTACGATGCTCCATCCAGCGATTTTGATGATGAGGATAGCGATGAGGAGATCCAGCATCAAGCAAGAGGAACGAAAGCGAGGGGAAAGAATAAAGAGGTGGAGGAGGATGAGGAGGAACATGAACAGGAAGGCGAATGGCTAGGTGTGCCACCTCCCGCTAGCAAGCTGTGGGCTACGCCTGCGCGCAAGCGAATGCTGCCTTACTTGTGAGTCCTTTAAAGTAGCAAGACGTCGTTTGCATGGATCAGTGCATTCAATCAACCTCGCTCCCCCAACGTTCTCGCCTGATCCTCACCCCATTGAACAGCCACGAGACGGACGTGGCCCGCCTCACGCGAGAGAGGGAACAGCTCATTCCGATCAGTTTGGAAGCTCAAACCTCGACTCATCGCATCAACGATGTGATCCTTTGGAACCTCAAGGAGAGGCTTCTGAGACCCGAAACTTTCGTGGCTGGTTTCCTGCACGATCTCGGTCTGGATCCGGTGCCTGGAACACCGAATGAGTTTGAGAATGGTGAGCTGGGTAGAGCGCTGGTAGAGAGCATCAAGAGGCAATTGGGGCAGGCCGAAGTTACACATGGAGGAGCGGTGTGGGATGAAGATGCGGACGAGAAGTGGGACGACGGATTGGAGGATGTGTTTCAAGCAGGCGGCACCCATTTGGAAGAGCACCGCACGCCGGAGGTTGGGGATGAAGATGAAGATGAAGATGAAGATGAGCTGGGTGAGGTTGCTCGCAAGCGAAGGAAAAAGGCTGCGCTCGCCGATCTACCCGAGAGCGAGTTACAAGAGGATGATATGAGGGTGATTGTGGAGGTGAGTTGATCGTCAGCGCATATCATGCCTTCTGCTTCGCATCCTCGTAACCCCCCTAAGCTGACTCGGTCCCTTTGCGACACCTCGGACTCGTGTTCTTTGATGCAGTACGAAGTGCCGATCCTGTCTTCGTACCTTCAAGATAGGCTAGAGTGGGACCTTCGCTCATCACTCACGCCCGAAGTCTTTGCTTCTCGCTTGGCCAAAGATCTAGGTTTGACGGGAGAAGCTCTTCCGCTCATCAGCGCTAGTATCAGGGAACAGCTGTTGAATCATCGACGCGCAGCGTTGGATCTGGACTTGCCGGGAAGCGGCAAGAGGTGGGCATTTGCACAGAAGCTGCTGAGCATCGCCAAGGGAATGGAATCAGGCAGCGCAGAGGCAAAAGAGGAGCTCGTTAGGATCATTAGGGAGAACGCGGAGCCTGAAGAGAATGAGAGCAGAGTGATTGCGGATGGCGCGAATCGTGGGCAAGGAGAGGAGACGCCTGATGAGCGACGTCCTGCCGCTTCTCGCGACCGCAATCCCAATGCTCTCTCTAGTCAGACGACGGCTAGTAGTACGCCACTACGACTGGACAGCGCTCAGAAGGACGGTACTTCCGTGAGTAGCCTTGCACCCACAGGAGGGGCGTCCACTCACGAGTCACATTATCCTCGGACGTGCGTGTGCGTGCGGGGGGGGACAGCGCGCTGATCATCCCTTTTCTCCCCTCCTACTCCTCCTCATGCACTGCTCAAGACTCCCGCCGAGCTGGCGCTTCCTAGCGCGGCGGATCTGCGCGAACAAGCAGAAAGACAGCTTTCGGATGTGACGGTTAGGGGACCGAGGAGGTTGGAAGGCGTATGGAGGGATTGGGGCCAGAATTTTGGTCCGATCTTGGAGAAGCTGGACAGCGAGGAACGAAGGCTTAGGGAGCTGGAGAGGGGAAGCGGCAGGTGAGTGCGCCCGAGTTGCGTTTTTTTTCCTTGTTGAATCCATCTACTTGGCCGCATGCAAGATCTTTCCACCCCTCCTCTTGACTTTGTTTGGAAGGGCATTGCGGCGAGTTGTGCCCAAGCATGGTGCCGAATCAGCTGACATTTTCGCATTGCCCCCCCCC